TCCCCTTTTGGTTAGGATAAATCTTTGCGTTATGATAATCACAGAGTCTTGATATTTCTATTATGAAGTTGTTTAGGCTTACATTTTAATTAACTAGATAAATCAACCCCCTCCTCTTCCCCACTATCTCCCTGTGTAATGATGTAATAGGATGCAAAGTTCTGAGTTAGCTCTAAGTATTAAATTATTTGCCTCATCCCTCAGTATACAGCCAGGTCAACCTGAAAATCCATACAATGTGACAATGCGTCATATTGTTGATAGCTCAATTTTTCTGGTTTTTTTATGTTGAAATCCTTAAAGTTTTGATTGGTTTACTTTTTCAATTTAAAAGTCGGACAAGCCCATTATATAAATTCATCTGATTAAGGGTTCAAATGGTATTTGTTGGTACATGCGTAACATATTAGGCAGTCTTAAAATGTACGTCATATCATTGTGTTACACAGTATCAATTTTCTTAATATTACTAGTAGTCTATTAGTGTTTGAATACATGATAGAACATGTTTAATCTTTTATTTCATGTAGTAATGAAAATAGTAACTCAATATTGTTTGATGTTTATAACAGTTAGACATGCTCCTTGTTGTGAATTAAATATGAGATTCAATTAGCATAATTATTTGTTTTCTTTTATCAAATTTACATATAAAACAAAATGGTCATTATGTGAACAAGAAATAGGTTAACTTTTCTAGCATAGCTTGAGTTGACTTTAAATGTTGAAAACAGTTTTAGCTTACTTGAGGAGAATCCTCAGAGGTGAGCTTTTGTGATGTCCGTTATTAGACATAATTTCTATGAACAATTTCCGAAAGCTTTTGATAGATTTTAACCAAACTTCACAGGAATGACCCTGGGGTAGTCCTCTACAAATTGTATGTAAATAGGTAAATAAGAATGTCATTGGAGCTCAAATTGAAATTTTTAAAGATCTACTTTTCATAAAGTACAACGCCCAGAGCTTAGATATTTGGCATGTAACATTACATTTTGGTACATGACTTACATAAATCATACCTGTTTGATGATATATATATATATATATATATACGCCCAACCTAGGGGTCGTTTAATTACCATACATGCAGGCTTACATCACTAACCAGATAGAAAAATCCGTAAATGTTACCAAAAATAGCGGTGTTGGAAAATCTTATCTCACATGGGCTTATCTTACACTCAACGTTCAGCACTTCTAAAAACGTTTTCTACACATACGCGATTCAGTCCTATTTAGACACAATTGAAACGTCAAAAGGTTAAAATGTATTAAAAATATGTGAGCTAATCTATTAAATTGTCCAGTGTGTAGATTGATATTAACTTTCACACTACTCTACCTAGGTCCGCCCTTTTCAATATCGATCTGTTACTAAAAATTGCACACTTTATAATATCGCAAAATTCTTCGTAAAATCGGATATTATGACACTTTGCCTGAAGACCATCCATGTTTTCTGTTATGATAACGATGCGTCTTGATGCCAATCTCATTTTGATATATTTTAATTGAATATTTGGCAAAAACAACCGAATAAGTAGAAAAATCTTGCAAATGGTAAACGCTTTTTGCAACCATACTGAATTCCTTATAAACACTTATATTATGACACTTTCCGACTTTAATATTGATGTGTTTTATCATGATAACTTTACTTTTTGATGAGGGATCTCATATGAATTCATTTTCATTGAATTTTTCACACATAAACATAATCAGTAGAATATTTTGCGGACGTACGTCAGGCGCCTAAGCCCCGTCCCGCTTTTCAAAACTAGGGCGTAGCAAGTAGATCTAGTTTCACTGATATGTATTGTGTTCAAGTGAGTGAGAAAAATAATCAATCATTAGGTTAGATAGAGGATAGAGAAATCCCAACCCTCGGGCAATCGGTTCCACCGGGAACCGATCACCTTCGGGTTGGGATTTCCCTATCCTCTATCTAACCCAATGATAGATTCTATTAGTCTTTTATGAAACTGTAACACCTTTACACATAGATATTATGCATGTTTTATTTCCAAGTGTGCACCTATAAGAATTATATAATCAAGACCAATGGCTCAAAATTGTGCCAGACTTGGGTGCCACTTTGTTTATATAGATTTGTATAGCAAAATACATTTACGTATTGAACTACAATGTCACTACAATGCTAATAGCTAAGGTATTTGTCCTTTTGCTTGTCTTAGCAGACATATATAATGTTTCAGAAAATATACAGCTTTGGTGAAAAATGACAAACCTAATGTGATCTAATTAGTACTGACCTTTTCATTGAAAAATAAAAGATGAGACCTTTTCTAGCAACGTTTTCCAGGTTAGCGGTCCGAGGCCATCATTTAAAATTTCTAAAGAAAACAACGCTCATAAATAACGTGAGATAGCTGTTTAGATAAGAATTACAAGTGGAGGAGTAAAAACACTTTTAAATATTTTCTCTGGTCACCACCTGCAAAAGTAACGGTGAATTCAATTGTAATGAATTTGACAGCATTTGTGCACATGTATATGCAGTTCACAAGGGTGAATATGGCCCTTGTATACTCGATATATTTTTGGCGTATATTGTTATGCGACTCGTCGCCCTTCTTCCGTTCGTCCGTCTTTTAGCAATTTCTTGTCCGGCCTGTAGGTTCAATACTGATCTTTTAGAACGAGTTGAATACAATTATATTATGCAAGTAAAATAATATTTAATTCAACCACTGCAATAAATTCAATAATGATGCTACACAAATACAATGTATTGACAACATACCCAGAATAAAGACTTTTTAGGCACAAGAAAGAATCATTTTCATTAACGCAAACATTTAGCGCCCCATTACACTATGTTTGTATAACAAATATGACGGCACATAATCTGATTGGGGATTCAAGCTGTCTTCATCATACTTATGAAATTACTTTACCAAATGAATTGATGACAGAAAAAAAATGATTATTGAACTTTTAATTGATTTTAATGTGGCCTTTAAAAGTTTATACGACACCAAAAGTGTATGCAGTAACACTTTCAATTTTAGACATTCGTTTTTTGTTTTTGCTCAAATAAATTCAAGACAGTCATCTGGAAATACAATATACAATTTTACTATATCTTAATTATTTTAGAATAAACTTTATTAAATTCATCAAGAGTTATCTTTTACAATGATATTCTTCATGAAGAGTTATGTTTTACACATTTCTGGGATGAAATGCATTCATAAATAAATGTTCATTCATTTTGAGAAAAAAATTTCCTCAAGATTATCTTGAGAGAATATCATTACAGATGTCTTGAAATTTGATCAATAAGTCAGTTATTGATTTACTGCCATGAAAGTTTAAATATCATTTGTTCTTTATTGTTCACTTCATGTCGTAAACTTCTATATAACCCCGTTTTGCTCGTCCAACTATCAGTCTCATGTGATTGCGATCATAGCAAACCGCCTTACAACCTCCTTCTTGGCCATCTGATGTAAGTATTTCTCCTATCACCTCACCATTAGGAGAAAATTGTAGAATATTGTTAGATGATTCACCGCAAACAAGTATATCTCCACTGTCTGTTTCACAAATCTCCCTTGCATTTCCGAGGTTAAAAGGATTATATTTTCCATGTAATTTACCTTCCTTACTAAGTACTACAAGACCATATGTCCAGTCAGCAACATACATCCTCTCACCATCTTGACTGACTGTAAGACTGTAGATATTCCTAAACAAGTTGTCACCTGACTGATCTTTTGAATATTGTATCAGCATTGTCCCTGTCTTGTTGTAGACAAAAATAGTCTCCGTCGAATCAGTAACATACAAGTTTCCATTTCTGTACCCTAAGCCAAAACAGTCATGATCAGTTTTTATTTCCCGTGCTACTTTAAGAGGACCTTCTGTAGTTACAATGTCGATGTTCATCCAACTGGAGGATACAGCTATCTCATTGTCAACTTCACAAATATGCCACGGGGATCTTGGAAGTTGACAGACATCTACTATTTTGGAAGAGGCCACGTCAAGACGTTTTAAGCTTTTATTAACAAAATCTGCGATTACAATAGACCCGTCATTTAGTAAACATGCACTGTATATAGAACAATCGCTCTTGTCTGAATCATGTTTGATATCTATCTCCCTTTTTTCTCGAAGCTGATATTTAGCAGGTTGTTCAATGATGTCCCCTAAAATATCCATCTCATCTATCTTTGACGTCAGACTCTGTTTACATTCAAAAACTACATCAATTCTTTTAAATTCTATGGTCTTCTCTTTTAAACCATTGTCTGCCCTTTCAGTAACTGTGTTAGCTACTTTCATACCCACAAATTTTTGCGACACGTTTGATGAGGCGGATTTTAATTCTTCTGCTGAAGACTGAACATCTGTCTGGAAAGTTGTCAGTATAGAAATTTGCTCTTCAAACATCTTGATGAATGCTTTGTATTTATCTTCAATATTAGCAATGCTCTTCTTCTCAAGATTGTCAAGTTTTTGGTTAACGTCAATTCGGAACTGCTTTATTTTCTCAACTTCTTCTTCTTTCCGTTTAAACAGACGTTTTATTTCCCATTGGCGAATTTTTAGCTGAAATTCAATGTCACCGGTAACAGCTAGCATTTTCTGTTGAACGTCTTCACATTGACTTGTAGGATCATGTTCTAAGACGTACTCAGGCACATAGAAAACATCGTTACATGACCTGAAAATTGTCAAAATTTTTAAACATGCATTTATTTAAATTAGTCATTGGCAGGTAATTCTTTTAATTTGAGATATTTAACATGCATTTATTTAAATTAGTCATTGGCAGGTAATTCTATTAATTTGAGATATTTAACACTTTTACCCAAATTAACAATGTTAAATAATTTAATAGTCATGGTGCGACTGAGTGGTTAACTTTTAGAAGGATTGCTGGTTGCAAGGGTTTAATACCCGTCAACAACATTCAAAAAGAAGGAAGAAACTTATTGAATTTTATGTGTACTATAAAAATAGATTTGTACCAATAAATTGGCAAGTTTTCTTCCCAGAAATGTTTTAAGGCACAATTTTATTTTATTTGAAAAAAAAGTATCGTGTCTGTTCATCAACTATTTTGCTTCTTTTTAAAATCATACGAGAATTATCAATACGACGTATATTCTCATATGTTGATAAATCATATTGTTATGTATGACCATCTTTATATGAAACAAATATAGATTTATTAAAAATGAATAATTTTAATACTTCGTTATTTAAATGAGCAACGTGTGATAATCTAGAGGTTTAAGCCCCAAAACATTTAATTTGGATATTTTCATATGACATCATACTTATTGAGGAAAGAAGAATTTAATGTAATTGCTTTGTGCACATTGTAAAAATGTATGTATGGAGAAATGTTCAAAACTTAAATATCTTACAAAACTTCACAATTAACTCAGAAATGCTTTCTTTATTAACATTTGATACAGAAACTATCCTCATGTGTAAATTATACATGACTGTATCTAGCTTCGACATATATGTCTCTATTTCTCTGATGTTCATCTAAGCACTGAAAAGCTTAAATCCGTATATTGCTGAACCGATTTAGATATGTAGGATTCAAAAGTACAGTTTGAAAGTTTTGACTAAGGCGTATTTTATATAAAGAATGAGAACTATGTCATACGTAACCATTTTGTACAATTAAAATAAATTTTTAAAAGGAAAAAGATGATTTTATTTTCCATTTGTTACATGAAAAACATTTTTCATTTTCAAAACAAATTAAGAAAGATAAAGAAATAATCATTTCGCGTGTCACGGCACAGGAGACTTCAATACAGAACGGCAATGTAATTCAAACCGTGCGTTTGATAAAGATCACGAACTTTGTCTGTTAAATTGATATAAACATCACGTCATATGAAGAAAAATGAATACATTATTTCATTAAATTGTATCTTCTTAAAATTGAAAATATTATAACATAACCTTGCAAAATCCCGTACAGACATATGTGATCGTATCTCGAGGTATCTCACCAGAAATGCAACTGTTTGCGGGTATGTTAAATTGGGAAATAGGGAACAGGCAAATGAAGTAAATTAAACCAAAACACTAAATTTAATTGGCATTTACCTCATTATGGTATATTTATCATTAAATTTTGGCTAACGTAGAACATGACATAAATTAAATAGGATCTTACCTGTGATATACTGCCATACATGTAGCACAACCAACGTTATCGTGACTTTGCCAATACATGTCAACAGGTTTAAACCCGTGTTTCTCCCATCTTTGTGTTGGTGTTACAGGCAAAATTCCGCTTGTTCCATCTTTGACTTGATCTTTATCTAGAATCTTATGACAAGACAATGCTGGAAAATCATCGTGAATGTTTAGACAATCAGAACAATAATAATCATGGCAATCTGCGCAATATATGTCCGCTTCTTTATTTCTTTCCTTACGTTTACAAGGTGAACATAACAGATGAAGTGGTTCATCTGACTGTCTTTCCATCTCACTTCAGGAAATGGCTGCAATTTTCCTTGACACAAATTTACGTTTTATAAAATACGTAATCTAAAACAGGAAATATAATTATAACAATCGATACCGAGCTAAAAATGAACAAATAGATTATTTGTGTACAACGTCAAATTGTTAGTAAAAGGTAAGTTTAATTTGGTAGTTTATGGTTATTGTTTTGTTTATAAATTCACACTTTGTTAAGTAGACATGCCTGTTTCAATGTGTTAATATATTTTTCTTTAAACCTTTGTAACGAGATAAATGTCGACTTTTTCTTACGTGGGGGTAAAACACAAGTTTATTAAACAGATCACATTATCTCTATCGACTACTGATAATTCTACCAGTGCGACCGGTGCAGACAAAGATCAGTCGGCATATCCGTGATCATTGTCTGCAATGTTGCGTTTGCTATTCGGTCAATGCATATGTGTTATTTCTTTTAATATATTATGAACAGTTATGACTAGATCGAAAAATGGACAAGCCTGCGTGGAAAGGCTGATGCCAGTGTGTAGTAGTTTTTTTCTGCATGAATATGTAATGGAGTAGGGATACAAAGTTAGCAAATTTCGTCATAAAAGTCGCGATCTTCAGAAATAAATATAATATCTTCAATTTATATTTCACATTTTTCTACAATTTTATACTGAATTAAATTAAGCAATAAAGTTTAATAAATACTAAATTTTTCATCATATGCACGTTTATATACTGGTAAAAGTTTGTATGTGAAAGATGAATTTGCAGCATGCCGGGTATCTGATCGATTTCGTCTATCTTGCTCAAGATTTCTATATGCATGTTTAATTGTAATGTTGATATATGTTCTACATCGATTCATGTGCAAACCAATAAGAGTATATTCAGTTTCATATTCAAAAGTTATAAATTGATAATTTAAATGTTACATTTTCACTTAAAGTTTATTTTGATAATTGTTTTTTTACTGTTGTATATATCATTATATTATTTATACAAGTATTTGATGGGATATACGGGATGAGAGTGACTGGAAAACTAAAATATGACGAGACGCTTGTCGTTTGTAACATTTTGTCACTCAGGCTTTATTGTCCCCTGCCTTTCCGAAAAAAAGGGAGATATAGAAATAGGCTCCGTCTTTCTGTCTGTCTGTCTGTCCGTCCGTCTGTCCTTCCGTCTGTCCGTCCGTCCGTAAACTTTTACTTTAAATGACATCTCATAAACCACTCAGCCAATTTCATCCAAACTTCGCAGGAATGTTTCTTTGGTGGTCAACTTTAAAATATTTGGCATGAAACATCTTCTAGTGAGTTTCTGTTAAGTTTGTTCAAATAAAAGCCCTTGGGTCAAAATTGGCCCCGTCCCAGGGGGTCATTGATTTTCCCTCTATGCATATAGTAAAAACTTAAAAAAAAAATTCTTTAAAAAACCCAAAGAGCTAAAGCTAAGATGTTTGGTATGTAACATCTTCTAGTGAGTGTCTTCCAAATTTGTTCCAATAAAAGCCCTAGGGTCAAAATTGGCCCCTCCTTAGGGCCCAATTGATTTTCCCTATATGCATATGGCCGCCGCCACGAGAAAAGGGGCACTCGGGCAATTTTTATCGATTTTTAGTTTTATGGCTAATATTTTAGGACATGCATTATTGTGCACGACGCACTTTATTTCACATTGATATTGCAAATACTTTTTGAGATATAGAGGTTTAAAAGAGGACATTAATGCAACGTCAACGACAGATTTACGTAACGTCATAATAATTATGACGACGTCAAATGTAGTTTATCAGATAACAAATGAAGTCAAGTGTTTCAAAAGTTTTAATTTTGCACTTACTAGAATAATACTAAAATATATAAAAGTAAGATATTAAAATATAATTTAAAAACTATTTTATAACACTATTTTCAAAATTATCGTATTCTTGAATAAAACATGTAAAACAATTACATGTTATAATTATAAGACTTGGCCCTAATAATGTTAAAAGCAAAACTTTAATTATAAAAAATGGTAACAACTGAACTTGAAAACAATAACAAAATTCATCAGTCAGTCTGTATGCATGCAGCGTGAATCACTCTTCGGTGTATGGCGGGCACGTGGCATCTTGGTATGCAGGACGCACATATTTTCTAACGTTACGGTATAAATATTCGCGCCGTGTACAACTTAATCCTGCGGGCTGTATGACCTCGGGAAAGGTTGTTGTTAGAACTTCAGTATTACGTCTTATCAGCGGAACTCTAATCTACTCGCTATATATTCTTTCCTTTACAAACACAGCCGACTTGTCTGCAGCAGAAAATCTGAAGCAGTGATATTTCTGTATGCCTTTCACTTGTAGGAAATATCGCGTCAAATACGACTTCCAGTCATACCTGTGTTAAAATAATGTTATTTTATTAAATGCAGTTAATAATGTATATAACGTATATCCTCATTGAAAAATATACCATCTTTGTGAAAAAAGATTTTATGCATTGCATTTCTTTTCTTCTGTTGCATTTAAAATAAATAACGTTTTTGTTTGTTGCTACTATGTATGTGTATTGCTAGCGATCGGCGTGGCTGTGATAGTGATCATCATTATTATACATGCTTGTTATAATGTTTAAGCCTACATTATATTATTAACTAGTTATCGAAAAAAATTTTAAACTCTGTAGAAAATTAATTACCATTTCCATGTTTGATCATTGTTTTCATTTCGATATAAAACGGAAATTGTTCCTTGTCGATTTATCCACAATGTCTGCAAATTGACTCAGACTCTCGCAATCAGACCTCTTGAATAGTTTTTTAATTCGCCCGAAGCCACCATCGACAAGACACCTTAGATAAAAATAAAGTACAAGAATTAAAGAATGACAGTACAAACAAATTAGTTATCACATAACCATAAAAACACTGTAGTAGTAAAATCCACTTCGTCACATATTTTTGAGTAGGCTGTTACTTAACTATGTGTTCACTTATATCTGAATAAAATATGAGGATTTTATTTAATTTTGTGACGAAACATAAGGAGTAACATAACCAACGCTTACGAATATGCCGCAACGATGCTATGTATAAATATATCAAGGTACTTACTTTGTATGCCCGGGAATAGCCATGTGTTCATGTAACCCTCTGTTTACTCTCCAACAAAGATACGCCAGTGTGTATCTATTCTTATTTTGACCTATTAACAAGAAAAAGGAACGGAAATAACTTTATATTACTTGTTTTAGTATTATTAATCAATGAATATGCTGAATATTTTTATTCATAAGTTAATGTGAAAAAAAAGATTTACCTCCGCAATTATCTGCATGAAGATAAAGTCCTTTTTCGCCAAATCCGTAATTATGTAAACAATGATGGAGCATGCTTAATACTGAATTTAGTCCATGTGTCCCAGTTCCATCTAAACCTGTAAGGTGACAATAAATTATATGAAATACAGTTTTATATCAATTAATAAAAATGGCAATAATATAGCGTAGTGTAAAACTCATTAATGCAATGATCATAATTATATTTCGGGAGGACGACAATATGCCTAATAACCCACATTTACCCACATCCAATCACATATCCTATTCTGTCATGATATACGTTTCTAAGTAAATTTGGTTAATAGTTAACATACCTATAGACTGATCTTCATCTATTAAGTAGTTGAACTGCTCACTTGTAGAGTCAATGCGGATACCGAACATATTTATTTTCCTGCCTGTTACAAAGTACATGCATGGGTCCCATCTGTCGACTGTGATGAGGGATTGTCACACTCTGACTGTAGTCAAAAGTGATATGAACCTGATAAATTGACCAAAATATTAATCAATAAAATACTAAGCTTTTTTTTTATATTATACATGTATGTTGACTATTCTAATGATGACTTTATTTACTAATATTCTGACTAATCTAAGTTTACCAATATGAATCACATATGCATTTTCCAAATTGTTAATTTAAAAACCATGCAGTTTTGTATGTTAAATCCATTTTTTTAATTATCAAATATAAAGACAGGAGCCTCCAGACTATAGCACTCTCAATATGTTAACTAATAATTATAATATTGCACGTTTATAACGTCATTTTTTCAACGGATAATCGTGACGTTAATATAATCTGTATGCACTGCTGCAATCGATTTATATATTTATTTCATTTTACTTCTAATAATAAAGAAAGTTTGCATTATTATAAGTTCGTAATAAAAATTGATTCTTAATGAATGTAAACGGTAATATGCAATTGCCTTTCAGCTCGGTTATATATACAACAACCGTTTATATATGGTCATATAACCTGTAAAAGATCTTTAAAGCTTATACCATAACTGTCATATGCATACCTTACTGAACTCTGTGGAAATTGGTGCAACGGGTATTGTCGGTCGGGTGTAACCTACCATCTCTTCTCTCGCTTGAATAACCGCTGTCATGTACGCCTGACGTTCTGTTTGAGCATCCTAAAACATTAAGGTAAAACATTTATTGTGGTTTGTCCAAGATGTACATGTATATAAAATATCTATGATTTTTATGCCTACGGTATTACTTACATGAGATGTAACAAAGGGAAAATAAAAAGCTACTTTGAAAAATACAAGATAACAATTAGCAATATAGAATACCTGCACATGCTCCCGGTGACAATTTGCTGCATCAAGTTTTGCTTGCTCCGTCACAGCATCCATAACACTATGTCGCAACTGCTCACACTTATGACACACGTCATCTTTTGGTGACATTATCTTTATGTGTGGAATGCAATTTTTCCATACATTTTTGAATGATGACACTCCGAGCTTCCGTACATCTGACTCCTCACATGCCTGACAGTATTGACTGTGTAGAGAAGCTTTTGTAAGGTTCGACGGGAGAAGAATAGGGGCTTCCCCGTCACGGCCCCTGGGTGCTGCTGGCATAGGTAAACGATTGATATCAGCATACCATAAAATCCAGTCTACACAAAACCGTATCTCATTGTAACCGAGGGCATGGTGTGGTTTTCTTCCACTGTTTCCGTGGGTACGTGGTATTGCGCCATTGGTAGTAAAGTGATCAAGTAGGTTTCGGAGAGCTTTTGATCCGATATCATTTACATACATGAATGCCTTCTTACAGATAGGTTTACCATGAAATGTGTATCTAAAACGAGTCCGTTTCCGGCGTTTCCCTTTAAGAGTTTCGTCAGTAGCAATTTGATGTACACTCCCAGTAATGAACATCTCTGCTTCATTTCTGTCAATCTCTCTCATAGAAAGTGTGTGACTGTCAACACTAGCTTTGTCAAACTAGAGAAGGCAATCAACTTTACACGTACAAACATTACAGGCTCTGTTACATGATGCGTCATCAGTGTCTCTGTCTGAGTCTGATTCCCTGGAATTTACAGTGTCATAATTTCTAATCACTTCTTCAATCCTTTCATTCACTACCTGTTCTGTGTCAGACTGTTCTTGGTCACTGTCACTGACTTCAAACTCCTGGCTCAGATCTTCAGGAATATCAACCTCTGTTGATGTTGGACTCTGCTCGGCAGGTACTCCAAATGATTCAAATAATCCATTTAATTCCTAAAATAATCGAAAAAAGTATTTGAAAGAACATTTAAAGATTAAATGTAAAAAAAAAAATAAGACTGAACGAGGTTTCGAACCACGATCGACGAGCACGCAACGCACACGCTTTATCCACTGAGCCACGGACACATGTAAACATGAGCTGTCAATATTTATTATATAAAATAATTTTTGCTAAAAATAGCAAACAGGGGAGAGAATCACGTCGCTTAGCATTTATGTAAACACTGCTGTCAAAAAAATCAATACAGCGCTAATAAAATTCAGTTTAAATTAACAAATATGACATAAACTGACAGAAATTGCAAAGTGTGACATCATTTAAAATTAATGTATAGTTTTGCTGTGAATAATTCGTAGACCGGGATTAAAGCTGCAAACGATAGCGAACAGCAGACGTGTTTAAAAAGTCAATAAATATGACGACTAGACACCAAATTTTTAAATATAAATATAATATAATGTTTGTTTTTTTACCTCAAATTCGTCCATTTCCTCAAACAATTCATATACAGCCAATACTTTATAAATCTCGCGCACGGAAACTAGTATGGCGACGAAAAAATCGCTGTCATTAGCCGTTCTCCTTTTCCCGAAGTTTTTGACGTTACGTCATATATGCCCGAGTGCCCCTTTTCTCATGGCGGCGGTCATATAGTAAAAACTTAAAAACCTTCTTTTAAAGAACCCAAAGAGCTAGAGCTAAGATATTTAGCATAAAACATGTTCTTATGGGTGTCTATCTAGTTTGTTAAAAAAAGCCCTAGGGTCACAATTAATCCCACCCCATAGGGGTCATTGATTTTCCCTAAATGCATACAGTAAAAACTTTAAAAAATCTTCTTTTAAAGAACCCAAAGAGCTAGAGCTTAGATATTTAGCATAAAACATGTTCTAATGGGCGTCTACTAAGTTTGTTCAAATAAAAGCCCTGGGGTCAAAATTGGCCCCGCCCCAGGGGTCATTGATTTTCCTTATATGTGTATAGCAAAAACCTAAAAAATCTTTGAAAAAAACCAAATAACTAAAGTTTAGATATTAAGCATGAAACATCTTCTAGTGAGTGTCTGAAAAGTTCGTTCAAATAAAAGCCCTTGGGTCAAAATTGGCCCTGCACCGGGATGTCATTGTTTTTAACTATATGTGTATAGTAAAAACTTAAAATCTTCTTTGAAAAAACCCAAATAGCTAGAGTTTAGATATTAAGCATTAAACATCTTCTAGTAAGTGTCTACAAAGTTTGTTCAAATAAAAGCCCTGGGGTCAAAACTGGCCCCGCCCCAGGGATGTCATTGTATTTAACTATATGTGTATAGTAAAAACTTAAAATATCTTCTTTTAAAAAACTCAACGAGCTAGAGCTTAGATGTTTAGCATGAAAAATCTTCTTTTTGATATCTAGCAAAGATTTTGTAACCGGTTGACATGTTTTAACCACAGATTAAAAAGGTGTTTTTGAATTTCAACTTCTTTATTGTTTTAATTCGTTTAATATCTTTTTTGGAGGGGGGGGGAAGGGGCTGACATATATTATTTCTTTTAATAAGGAAGCATGAAATATATAGAGGATATTAAATGTCTGTAGGTTGAATACTGATATTTTAGAACGAGTTAAATAAAATTATATTATGCAAGCAAAATAATTTTTTATTCAACTATTGCAATAAATTCAGTAATGACGCTACACGAATACAATGTATTTACCACTTACCCAGGATAAAGACTGTTTAAGGCACAAAAGAATCATTTTCAATAACGCAAACATTTAGCGCTCCCTTACACTATGCTTGTATAACGCAAATGACGGCACATAATCTGATGGAGGATTCAAGCTGTCTTCATTGTAACTAACTTTACCAAATAAATTGATGATAGAAAATAAATGATTATTGAACTTTATTATTATTGAAATTTATTTTAATGTGGCCTTGATATGACACCAAAAGTGTATGAGGTAACAATTAAAATTTTAGACATTCATTTTTTTATCAAATAAATTCAAGACAGTCAACTGGAAATACAATTTTACTATATCTTAATTATTTTAGAATTAGCTTTTATAAAATTCATGAAGAGTTATCTTTTACACTGATATTTTTATGAAGAGTTATCTTTTACACTAATTAAATATCAATTCTAGGATGAAATGTATAAATGAATGAATGTTCATTCATTTTGAGTAAGATTTTCCTTAAGATTATCTTAAGAGAATATCATTACAAATGTCTTGAAATTTGATTAATAAGTCAGTTATTGATTTACTGCCATGAAAGTTTAGATATCATTTGTTCTTTATTGTTCACTGCATATCGTAAACTTCTATATAATCCCGGCTACCTCGTCCAACTATAAGTCTCATGTGATTGCGATCAAAGCAAGCCGCCCGACAACCTCCGGCTTGACCATCTAATGAAAGTATTTCTCCTACCACCTCACCATTTGGAGAAAATTGTACAATATTGTTACTTGTATCTCCACAAACAAGTATATCTCCACTGTCTGTTTCACAAATCTCTCTCGCAATTCTTAGGTTGGAAGGCTTATATTTTCCGTGTAATTTACCTTCCTTACTAAGTACTACAAGGCCATGTTTACTATCGGCAACATATATCATCTCACCATCTTGACTCACTGTAAGACTGAAGATATTGCTAAACAAGTCGTCACCTGACTGATCTTTGGAAAATTGTATCAGTATTGTCCCTGTCTTGTTGTAGACATAAACAGTCTTGTTTGTATCAGTTACATAAATTTTCCCATTTCTGTACCCTAAGCCAAAACAATGATGAGCGGTTTTGATTTCCCGTGCTACTTTTAGTGGTCCTTCTGTAGTTACTATGTCAATGTTACTCTCAAAATAGGAGGATACAGCTATCTCATTGTCAACTTCACAAATTTGCCACGCGGAACTCGAAAGTTGACATACATCTATTATTTTGGAAGAGGCCAAGTCAAGACGTTTTAAGCTTTTTTTACTGTAATCAGCGATAATCACACAGCCATCCTTAAGCTTACATATACTGCGTATATCATAACAGGAGTTCGAGTCTGAATCATGTTTCATACTAATCTCCCTCTTTTCCCCTAGCCTATATAAAGCAGTTTTTTCCACAATTTCTCCCAATATGTCCATTTGATCTATCATTGACATCAACTTCGGTTGCTGTTCAAAGATTACATCAAATCTTTTGAATTCCACTGCTTTCTTTTTTAAACCATTGTCTGCTTTTTCTGTAACTGAGTAAGCTACTTTCATTCCCACAAATTTTTGCGACACATTTGATGAGGCGGATATAATATCTGCTGCTGAAGTCTGAACATCGGTCTGGAAAGTTGTCAGAATTGTAATTTGCTCTTCAAACTTCTTGATTAATGCTTTGTATTTACCTTCTATGTTATCAATGCTTTTCTTTTCAAGATTGTCAAGTTTCTCGTTGATGTCAATCCGGAACTGTTTTATGTTTTCAACTTCTTCTTTTTTCCGCTGAAACAGACGTTTAATTTCTCGTTGTCGAATTTTCAGCTGAAATTCAATGTCACCGGTAACAGCTAGCATTTTCTGTTGAAGGTCTTCACATTGACGTGTTGGGTCATGATCTAAGACGTACTCAGGCACGTAGAAAACATCGTTACAAGACCTGAAAATTGAATAATTTAAACTGTATATATTGCGAGGTACAATGCATTAATTTTACATTAGACATTGGCTTTTCATTCTATCTAGATATGAATGATGAAACTTGTTGCATTATATGTGTACGTAAAATGTGATTTTTATGAGCTATTTGACTAAGAATCGTGTCTGTACATCAAACATTTTGTTTCCTTCCAACTATGATACGAGAATTATAATTTTCACATGTTAATATCTATCTATATATATATCATTTTTTGTATTTAATTGTGTGTCCCAAAAGTGTTATTTTTATATTCGAGTTAAGAACATTATAAATATTGAGGAAAGATATTAATTATAAACTTGCGTTGTGCATTTTGTAAAAATGTATGAATTGATAAAAGTTCAACTGACATTAACAAACAGTTAATTCAGAAATGCCTTTCTGTATTTACAATTGATACAGTAGCTATCTCATTGTGTAAATTATACATGTTTCCTTTAAGCTTTCAACAGATATGTCTTTTATTTCTCTTATGATTATCTAACAATATAATTATTTGAGCTTGAATCCGTATATCGCCGGGCCATTTCAAATATTACGGTACTAATTCAAATATTGGAAAACATTTCACTACAATATACATGTATTTACACGTAAAACATGTCTAGCGTTTATTTCAATAAACATTTTCAATTTAATTATAATTTTACATTTTTTATTGTGTAAATCGAAACGGTTCCAAATTACAGCTTGAAGGTGTTAACTGTTTTGTCATAGGCATATTTATATAAAGTCATGAAAACTATGCCATTCACAAAAGAAAACCTCTTTTTGATTTTCAATTTCTTACATGACATACACACATTTTTTTTCATTGCGCTTGCCTCAAAACGGGTTATTTTCAAAAATAGAGTTGGAACACAGAGTATCATTGAAATTTAACCCGTGCGTTTGATAAAGAACACGAAATCTGTTTGTTAAATTGATATACGCACATCATGACATATGAAGCAAAATGAATACATTATTTCATTTACTTTTAACTTATAAAGTTATTAAAGTATTATGAAATAACCCTTCAAAATCATGTCCAGACAAAATGATAATTTGTATGTCAAGCTGCGCAAAATTCCTTATCTGACGGACTCAATGTAAACAAGATTTATTTTTAGGTTTTTGAAAAAAATGTTAGCACATATTTGGAAATTGATAAGAGGCAAATTAAGTAAACTTAACAAATATCACTATAATAAGTTTAAGTTACATTTACATCATTATATCTATCATTTAATTTCGGCTTAACGCACTGCATGACTTACAATAGAATGTGTCTTACCTGTGATCTACTGCCATACATGTAGAACAACCAACGTTATCGTGACCTTGACAATACATGTCTACAGGTTTAAACCCGTGTCTCTCGCATCTTTGGGTTGGTGCTACAGGCAAAGTTCCGCTAGTTCCATCATTGACTTGACCTTTATCTAGAATCTTATGTCCAGACAGTGCTGGAATATCCTCATGAAATTTTTACACAATCCGAGCAGTAATAATCATGACAATCTGCGCAATATTTGTCCGCTCTTTATTTATTTCCTTACTTTAAAAAGGTAAACAGAACAAATAAAGTGGTTACTGATTTTTTTTCCATTCACTCCCGAATGTCCCCCTTTTGTTGTTACGAATTTTCGTTTTTATAAAATAAGTCCTTTTCGGTTTTTTATCTATAAAAGATAAAAACCACGACATACAGCCTAAAAAAAACCTTTCAGATAAGGTTTAACGTTATATATTGGTCAAACGTTAAAATAAGGTGTTTTTAAAATATTTTTTTTACAATTAAACTTTTTTAAATAAAAAAGATGTTAAAATTTTAAATTTTTTTTAAAATTAATTATATTTAAAAACCTTTTATCATGTTATTTTTTTTGAGGGGGAAATTTTAAACCCCCATCTTTTGAAATAAAAATATAGGTTATAGGGGCTTAGATTTTTGGGGCAAATTTTTTAGTAAACCCTTTTAATAGGGGGTTTTATGGCGTCCCAAAGAAATTTGAGAACGCCGAGTTAGTAGAATCCCTACTTAAGACCACCCCGGAATTAAGAACAACCCTCTATTTAGACTAATTTTTTAAAGAACAGAATTTTCTGTTCTTTTATGTTAATGGTGACATGATCAACAATTAAGACCACCCCACTTATCCACTTTTAAGATCACCAGTTTCTGTCCCAATTCATTGTTTTATCTATCTAACCCCACTATGATAACAAGTTTGTTGTCATTCATCTACTTGAATTCACTAAGGCATGACACTTGATGAAACAATATGTGATTGGAAAATTGTATAAAGGCGAGAAAAACTTCAGTTTCGTTTATTGTTACTTTCTGCACATTTATTAGTGAAGAATTAATTTCTTAATTAATAGGTGAATTACGTACATGAAACAAGACCTATTAAAATTAAATATATATTTTGAATATATTCAAACTTATGTTTAATTTAGAATTTACTATTATAACATCAGTTTATAGTAATATTTGAAGGTAATGATATAATTGTATTAACATGTTTTTACATAATAATTCAAATAGAGTGGTTATGAAATATTTGTGCTTTGATAATTATATCCACAATAAGGACCAATCGCAATTAAGACCACTTTAGTCCAGTCCCTTTAATGGTCTTAATAGAGGGTTTTCACTGTATATATATATAGAAAGTGTTTGCAAGTAAATATCCTTTCAACCATGGATGATGAACGGCAGCAAGCTGTAATTTGCTTGCTTGCATGCAGGTGCAGCAGGTACACGACTATTCAGAATGAGTAATTTCTGGTATATGAAGCACAAATTCAGCGCAGTTTGAGCGCCGCAAGAGCGCCGTGTGAGCGCTGTGAAAGTGCAGTGGAAGCGCAAAGAACGCAGTAGAAGCGCAGTCCGAACGCATATAATCGCCAATCAAATCGCCGTAAGAACGCATTGCAACGTCGTTGAAGCTCCGTAGCAACGCAATTATCGCCATGAGGACGCTGTGAAGTCTCATTTTCATCAAAAATATAAGATTTTTCTTGCGATCTCGCAGCACTTTATAAAATTAAACAACGCCATGCAAACGCAGTAAAAGCGCAGTCTAGTGTGACAGGGCCTTAAGTATCTACAAATGTCGTTTAAATCGAAGTCTTCAAGCGGCTACTGATTTGATCCATGCGATCAGTGCAGAATACGATTAGGCGGCACCTCCGAGACCATGGTCTGAACTGTTATGTTCGCTTTTCGGTCAACGCGTATTAGTTAAAAAAAAAAACATGTTTAATAGTTTTGACCAGATCGAAAATTAGACAAGCCTATTTAAGATTTTTAGCGTCGTAAGGCTGATGTCAACACGAATTGTTTAGTTTTTGCATAGTAAGCAATGGTTGTGCTTCAGAAATGAATATTATCATAAATCATATGTCTTATTTATGTACACATTTTTTTAATCCTCAATTAAGTTAATGAATACTGCATTCTCATCACATGCACGTTCATAAACTGGTTAAATGTTGTATGTGAGAGCTTGCATCATGCCCAACTCTTATCTCAATTTCGTCTATCTTGTTCATGGATTCTATATATACCTGTAACGTTGATGGTTAAATTGTACACCGATTCATGTTGCTGCAGACCAATATGATTTTATTCAGTTACTTATTCAAAGGTTTCTAGATGGTCATTTATAAATTTATATGTGTCACTTATAAGTATATTTTGATTTTTGTTTTTACTGATTAAATTTTTTTTGTACAAGTCTCTGATGGAATCAAACGGGATCAACTCGCTTGATTTAAAAAAAATCGACCGGGGTTAATTTATGTCAGTCGGCTATATTTAAGAAAGTAAATCGGGCCTGAGAGGTGTATATCGCTATTTAACACGGATATGGAGTTTTATGCGTAGAATTGACCACGAAGGCCGTAGGCCTGATGGTGCGTTAATTTTGCGCATCAAAAACGACAAAACCCGGTGTTTTAAATAGCCGATAAAAAAACCTCTCAGGCCGATGTTATTTCGATTTTCTTTAAACATTAATAAAGGAAAATCAAATGTTAATTTTTTAAGCGAAATAACTTCCGGTGCCGATTTTCGGGTAAAACGCTGTTCTAATTCGCACACTACTGTTCGAAGATATAGAAATTATTAAAAAAAGAAATAATAAGAAAAAAAAACGTTTTTTATCAAGTTTTCAAAATAAAAACTAACTCGTATTGTGTTTTACTCAGTGCCGCATTTATCATTCTTGTATGTATGAAATAAGTCAGCTTTTTATGAATGAGTTGTTTATTTAGGATGACGTCATTACGCGCTTACGGATTGGGCGCCGTTTTGTCAAAAGATTTATTTAACTGTATGGATTAATTGTGGCGTTAGTGTATGGAGATATTATTTTGGTATTGTATGAAAGAAAACATTATATGAACTGAAAATTAAATAAAAATGCTTTTTATTGTTGCTTTAAAATGCTTTGTAAACTATACAATCGAGAGTGAAAATATAACAGCGAATATACAAGTAGTCCCTAACCGGTGTTTATTGACAGTTTAACACCAGTTTTTTTCCTTCTTTGTCTATAGTGACAAAATCACGCGAGTGTTAGAATCTCCCATATATCCTGCCAAGAGCTTGTATAACGAATTTGGGATAACACAAAGTCCTAATGACGACACTTCCATCAATAAAGAATATACAAACAATCTACTGTAAAAGGACTTTTTGACTTATGAGTCAGTGAAAAAAATGATGAAATATTAATTGGCAGAATATCTTGCTATTATACGAGTTGTCAAAGATTAAAAGTGTGACGAAAAAATAAAATGGGATCTGTCAGGAACATGTACCCCTGAGCCTCTTCCGATCTTATTAACAATGTTTCATTGCAAATTTCGTAAAAGGTTTAAATAGAACGGTAACAAATGTCCGATTCATATGTCAAAATTATTCATTAAATTTCTAATTCATTTA